GCGAAGTCAGGTTAGGGTTTAGGGTTCATGAAGCAGGGCTCTCGTATTTAATTTATGACGAGAACCCTCAGGAGGACACCCCAAATGTACACTCACAAACCTCCTAAACAGAACCCCTCAACTCTCGGCCCCATAAGTGGCCATTTACTGAACCCTTACAACCCTTAAAGAAGCCCTTGAAGGAACGATGAGCCTGCAACCTTGATGCCCTAACCCGAGAAGCCCTAAACCTTAAACCCTAGATCCAGGACCCAACGACCCATCAAGAGCCAAAACCCTAAACCCTAAACCCCTAAACCCTATACCCCGAACCCTAAACCTCGTCGGAGTCCTCAAAGCTGCGGTCGCTTGGATGAGCAGCGGCGCCTCCTTGGCGCCCCCCTGCGCATGGAATGTTCTTCAGGTTAAGGGTTTTAGGGTTTAGGGTTTTAGGGTTCAGGGCGTAAGCTTGGGATTTAGGATTTACGTTTAGGCTCAAAGGCTAAGGTTGAGAATTTCGGAGGTCGCTGAGAAGTTTAGTGCTTTTAAAGGCTCAAGACTTTCATGGCTTAAGGCTTGGTTCTTCAAAGGTTGTTTATAGAAGGGTCAACGGTTGCCCTAAACCCTAAACCCTAAACCACCCCTAAACCCCTTTAGAGGGTTCCCTTGTCGGTGTCCTGTTACTTTGGGCGCCGTGCTCGGGCGTCTGCTTACAGAGGAGAGGCGTTGTCCTCCAGGCTCGGGCCAAGTCAATGCTATCTTCCTCCTCTGAACTCTGAAACCCTAGGGTTTAGTTTAGGGTTTAGGGTTCATATAAAGAACCCCAAACCCTAAACCCCAGACCCTAAAACCCTAAACCCTGAAACCTTGAACCCTAAACCCTAAACCCCAAACCCTAAACCGCAAACCTCGGGCTTGCTGATCATGCGCTCAAACTCTCGCTTCTTGCACCCAGGCCGAGAGCATCTGCACGACCAAGTTACTGTTTAGGGTTTAGGGTTTAGGGTAGGGTTTAGGGTTTAGGGTTTTTAAGGACTTTAGGAGGGACCCTTAATAGGGACCCTTAATCCCATGACCTTAAGTAGCCATTGTATAGTCCTTGTATACCCCTTATTTAGCCAGGTAGTCTCCATATTAACCCCAAGAACCTACAAGGGTCCCTCTTAAGGGTCCCTCCTAAAGCCCTTAGAAAGTTCAGGATTTAGGGTTTAGGGTTTAGGGTCGGAGAGGGCAATGTGGCTTGGGAAGTTGAGACAACGGCAGTCCTTCAGCTTGCTAATGGTCACACCGGCAGCTGAACAGGAGATAGTCTTCCAAAGAGACGGCGAAGATGTCGAGTGGAAACGGATGCACTTCCACTAACCCCACAATTCCTAAACCCCGGTACCTTCGACCAAAGCGCCCCAAGCAAAACATCAAACCAGAAAGCCGTGCAATGCACATGGGTGGTTGTCAAAATTAGGGTCCCTTTTGGGGGTACCCTAAATAATAGGTGCCGTATTATAATAAGGACCCAAAAAGGGACCCTAATTCTGACAACCACCCACATGCAACTATACGACCCTCCGAGGAACAGCCCTGACCCGACGAATCAAAAACAAAAAACGGTTTAGGGTTTTGGGTTTAGGGTTTAGGGGTTTAGGGTTTAGGGTGCCAAGTCTGTCGGATTGCAAAAACACCGTCGCACAAACCCTAAACCCCAAGCTTTAACTTCTGGGCCGAAAATGTTTAAGGCACTCGTCCACAAAGTAGGAACCTCAACACTAATCCAAAATCAGAAAAATTCCGAAATACTACCATCAAAACCATTTAAAAACGCATGTTAACACTCATAATCACCTTTAACCCCCCCCCCCCCCCNNNNCCCCCCCCCCCCACAAACCTAAACCCGAAGCTCCAGAAAACAAATCCCCACCAGCCCTGCTCTGGGCCCGCCAACCACCAGTTTGCTTGGATCCAGCATCTTGAACCTTAAGGGTTGTAAGTTTATGGTTCTCTTATATTGGTGGTTGTCCAAATTATGGTCCCTT